GGTGGGGAGGCAGGCATCCCAACTTGTCCCGGACCGTCCTGGCTCCCACTAGCAGCCCTGGCAGAATTACTAAGATTCTGACATTTTAACATACTGAAATTTCCACTTTCAAAATTGAGCAGGTTGGGCCAGTAATTCACTGGTCACCCCTCCCAGAAGGGCCCTCCTACCTGAGGAAGAACCTGAACCAGAGAAACACCACAGAGGTACTATCGCCCCATCTGCTGAGGGCTTGCGGGGTATTCGCACTTAACTTCACGCTGAACTTCTCCAAGTACTTCACTTCTTTGTACCTCAGTTTGCTCAGCACTAAAAGGGGACAGAACTGTCACCACATCTTCTGTGAGAAGGAAATGAGATGGTGTAGGTGAACCGCCTTCCGTGGTGTCTGGCATATGGACGAAGAGTTGGGAATATGCCCAAGAGAAAGAAAGAAACCCGCCTTGATCCTTCTTTGGAGACGCCAACCAGCTCAATGGCTTTGGTTTAAGAACGAGGAGGAGAGGATGTGCAGTTTCCCTTCTAGGGAGACAGTGTGGGTAAGAGCTGCTCTCTGCCTTCCTAGCAAAGGAAGAGGCAGAGGCCGATTCAAAGCCCACCAATCCCTCAGACCACAATCAGGTGGGAGTGGTGGGCCTCACCTTCCGAGCCCCTCCCCACCCTCGGGGAGTCCCAAGGCTGCAAGTGCTCAGGGGTTAATTCCTGTGAGCACCCCTGCCTTGGCTGAAGGAAATTTGAAAGAAAGGAAGTAGGGAGGGTGAGAAGCGTGAAGGGGGAGGCCCTGGGTCTGCTGGTTCTGGGGCATGAAGTTAAGCTCAGGGTACACGGGGGTCTCCGACTTCCGTCCTGACCCACCCCACACTGCCCTTGACCTCTGTGCAGAGTTTCCATCCTCTCTCTCCGAGTTCACACTTCTCCCCCACCACTAACCGCAGCCCACGCAGAGGCTTGTGGGCGGAGAGAGGGGTGGGGGGGGGCGGAAAAGGGCCAGGGCTGCAACACTGAGCCCCCCACGTTGGGGAAAAAAAGCAAGTCCTATCGTTCTCTCCCTCATCACTCATACTAAGCCCCCGTCTTCTCACAGGGGGGCTCCCCTCCTTCACTGGGCCCTCACCCCCTTCACTGAGTCAGCCCGCCTGAGCCCTCAGCCCCCTTAAGGAACCCCCTCTCCACAATTTCCCCTCCACCCTCAGCACTAGCCACACCCTCAGAAAGGCCACACTCAGGACCTGTGACTCTGAGCTGGGCTCAGAGGGGAGGGGGCCGTGGGTTCTGCACCCCCCCACCTCGGCTGAGACCCCCCCAGGGTCCTTACCTCCCTGCACATCCTAAGGAGCAGGCTGGTCTCCACTGCCTCTCCTCCCTCATCCTTGCTTTTGGCCCCTGACTGGCCTCCAGCAGCTCTTCTTCTGGGACAATCTGTCCCCTGGGCACCAGCCACCAGGTGCTGGGCTGAGCAAACAACAGGGCAATCTTGCCCAGAGGTCAGCCATGGAAGGTGGCAGAGTGGCCTGGTCGGGGTGCCCACTTTCGGAGGAAAACGGATGACTGGAGCTGGTGGGCTGGGGGCTGGGATGGAAGGGACTGGAATCCTTGGGGCCAGGGCTGCCTCCCAGGCCTGTCCACTTAGTACCAGTAGGACCACTGTGCGGTGGGGAGGGGATTAACAGGGGCAAGGGCACTACCGGGGGGGGCCTTTGAACAGCCAGGACTCCCATAATAAAACTGGCTGCCCTGGAGGTGTCCAGACTGAGACAGGTAAGCACTTTCAGGAACACACACGACTCCCACATTAGGGGTGGCCTGGATTCAGGAATTTCTCTGACCCCCTCTTCAGCTTTCTTACCCCGATCTGGATAACCCAGCCCTGCATTCCTCTCCTGGGAGAGCCCACAGGTAAAATTCCCACTCGCCTGGAGGGTCTGGACCAAGTGGAAGAAAGAGGAGGGGCTGGTGGGGGAAAGTGAGCTGAGAGCAGGTGACTGAGGCCTCAGGTGGGAGGACAGGGGAGGGAACACTCGGGAAGCAATTACCAAAAGGAGCTGAGTTTATAAGAAAATAAAACTGCCGGGGGAGTGAGGACTTCCTCTGAGAATTAACTCTTGCCAAGCTGGGGCTGTCCAGAGATGCTCCGCCTGAAAAGTGTGAGGCGGGGCAGGCAGAGCCTGACTGGCACCGGGGAGAGAGGTCCAGGAGGCACCCATGCAGAGCCCCAACGGTGAGGACGGAGGGGAGGAGCTGGAGGTCACTTCTGGTAAGAGTGGTCTGGCCAGCCCCTGGGCAAAGCCACTATGGCCAAAGGAACTGGGTGGAGCAGGTGCCTTGGGGGTGGGAAGGGAAAGAGGCTGTTCTGGCCCCAATGGCAGCGTGGATGATCCAACCTCCAACGTTTTTATTTATTTTTGGGTCAGAGAGAGACAGAGCATGAACAGGGGAGGGGCAGAGAGAGAGGGAGACACAGAATCGGAAACAGGCTCCAGGCTCTGAGCCATCAGCCCAGAGCCTGACGCGGGGCTCGAACTCACGGAGCGTGAGATCGTGACCTGGCTGAAGTCGGACGCTTAACCGACTGCACCACCCAGGCGCCCCAGGATGATCCAACCTCCAAAGGCACCTCATGGGAGTTCTCCTTCACTCACTCACATACAGCTTTGGTCCCTTGGGGTCCTCCACTCCTTCTCTGGCCCCCCACCCCCTACGCCTTCCTCTCACACCTCTCATTAATGACTGACCTCTGAGCCCATGAAGGATACCTGCGGCCACAGAGGTGAAGTCATTAAAGCAAAGCCAGTCTGCATCCCTGGAAGGATTCAAAGTCTGGCTGTTCAGATTCCAGCCCTGCCAAAAAAGTCCTCTCTCTGGGTTCAACCGGTTGGAGGGAGCCTTCACTGCCGGTCTGCTAAGAGGGGGCTGGACTCAGTGACCCATAAAGAGCCCTACAGTATAACTTCTGAGGCAAGCTAGGGTTCTAGAATGTGTGTGTGTGTGTGTGTGTGTTCTGGGTCTGGGCACATGGGCTAGGATGGGCTCTGAACCTCAGCCACGAGCTAAGGCAGACCCTCTCCACAGGAGCCCTCAACACTCCCCAGCAGCCTAGCTGAGGGATCCCACCCACCACTCCCACAAACTGGTTCTCACCGCCCCCCACCCCAACTATCACAGCTCCACCCAGGCCCTCACCCCAGGGTGCAGAGGGAGGTGAGGGGTATCCCCAAGTAGCCAGAAGCTGGGAGGAAGGTGAGAAGGAAGCCCGCTGGAAGGAGGACCCTGGGGTCCCATAGCTGGGTATACTGTGTGACACAGGGTTAGTTCCTGTCCCTCTCTGGGCCTCATGCTTCCTCTCCAACGAAAGTAGGGAGTCTGTGCCACACAACTGGTCTCAGGGGAGAGGGCTTAGGCGGAAGGAGGTTTGCTCTCTATTTCTCAGAAAGTGGGAGAGGAGGAGTTCAGGGTGCGGATGTGAAAAGCATCAGGCTCACTGATGTCAGGCTGCCGCTCACCCTCTCCCTTGCTGCCCAGTGCTGCCCCAGAGGCCACTGCCATTAGACTCCCCACTGACATAGCTCCCTCCCTCCTTCCTGCTGCCCTTCCTTCTCAGCAAGATTCTACAGGGGCCACCCAGTGGAGCCTGTCCTAACCCCCGTCTCGGCTGCTGTAGAACTCCGGTAAGCCCCTCTTCTCGGCCTCAGCTTTCTCCTGAGGTGGGAAACAAAGCACAGACCCTGAAAGACGCCACCTCCTTCCTCCTCATCAGTGAGGGGGCAGTTAACCCAACTAACTGGCCTTGTTACTGGCACAGAAAAAATGGGGCTTCAGAGAGGCCCAGAAACTCACCAGGGGACCCAGAACATAGCAGCAAAGCAGCTGAGGAAATGCCTCAACCCCTGACACCTCAAGGAGACACGAGCTTGGGTGTCAGAAGAAAGTGGGGGGCACATCCCAGAACCTCGCCTCCTTCCTGTGAAGGATGAAGAGTCACACAAGCAAGCCAAACCCCACAGGCCTGATGCTGGAAGAAGGGCCCTCCAAACAACAGAGGGGAGAACTGACCCAAAACGGGGACCTGGGAAATGCCACCCTCAGGGCACAGAGGTTAAGATGGAGAGGATTTCAGATGTGACTTACTGATCATCCCCGACTCTTTTCACCCACGCCATGTCCCGCTCTGACTGGTTGGAGGCGAGATCCTAGGGAGGAAGACCGGGAGGTCAGACGCCGATGTCACCTTGCCCAGACCCCCCTCTTTACCATTCCCACAGCCAGTCGAAACCCAGGAAGGACGTCCTGGGACTCTAACGGCTATTTCCAGCAGCTCTCAGACCTCCGGGGAGCGCTGGGCGGGGTCCTTTACCTGGGCCCGGCTCTCCTGCAGCTGCTTCAGCTCTCCCTGCAGCCGCTCGCACTCGGCCTGGAGCTGCTCTTCCCGAAGCTGAGCCCCCCGGGCCTCACCCTGGGCAGCCTCCAGAGCCTCTTCCAAACGCCGTCGCTCCAGCTCACTCACACTGGGTGTGGGGCCCGGCCAGCCTGCTGGCAGGAGAGAGGACAATGTCAGGTTGGGTCCAGCTGCTGGCACCCTCCACCGACTCCCAGGTCAGCAAAGACTGAAACCGGTGAGGACCGCCCCATCAGAGATCCAGAAGATAGCCAGAGGACAAATACCCCGGGGAGGCCTCTACTGAGGGCAGTGTGGGAGGATGGCCTGAGCTGCTTTTTTCTCATCTTCTAGGAGACCAAGGACAAAATAAGATGGCCTCCTGAAAGGATTCCCTGGCCACATTCAAATCTCCAAGCATCCTCTGGCCTCCGCTAATCACCACTGTAAGATCGGCTGGGGGACTCTGAGTGGAGGTGCCCTCTGCTGACACACATAGGAATTGCATGGGGGTAGCCAGAGAAAGCAGGTGGTAGAGGGGGGTGTCAGTGGGAGAAACTGCGTAAGAGTAGATGAAGTGAGGGAACGGGTGGCAAAGAGGCATAGGGTAATTATGGGAGAAATTTACTAAGACATCATAATGGGGTGCTCACCATCAATTCCAGAGTAGTACTGAAATGGGGGTTAGTCTAGGGGACTCTGGGGTAGGGATATCAGGGGCCGCGGAGATCTCACCGTGACTCAAGCCAGATCCCCCTCTCAGTGCCAAGTAGTGCAGGTCCAGATCAGTACAAGGTGGGGCAGGGGCAGGTGGGGGGCTCGGGCTGGGGAAGGCTGCGTCCCGGAGGCCTTGCTGCTGCCGTAGCTGCTGTTCCAAACCACAGATTTGCCGCAAGTGGGTCTCCACCAGGGCCCGCTGCAGGGTGAGACAAAGGGGTAGGGTCTGCACAGGACCAGGGTACCCCTGTGGGCCCCCCAAAGCCAGGACTTCCCCATGTCTGGGAAGCCATCACCCCTAAACGGAGCAGAGGCCCCAGGTCACACATCCCAACTGCACTCTCAAGTGGCTATGAGTGTGAGGTCTCCTCTCCCAGCAACTGCAATGCAGATGTTTCTGGCTATTGCCCCTTGCAAGGTCAGAGTTAACGCCTCTTCCTTGCGGGACACTTCTAAGAACACACAGCCCCTCAGTCCAGACATAGCTACGCCCTCAGAAGCATAATAAGTTCTACTTGCACATGTGACAACCACTCTGGGCTTCACCTACCTCATCTATAACACGGGGATAACCACACTTACCTCTTAGGTTTGTTGCAAGGATTAAAATGAGTAAATATATCTAAAGAGATAACAACAGTGCCTGGCACATAGTTAAGTGCTATGTTAAGTGTTTATGATTATTAAGGCGAAGCATTCTTACACAAACGTCCCAACTCAGACGTCACAAACAACAACTCAGCAGTATTGTTATCATTTGCCCTTTTCAGAGGAGGGACAGAGGCTAAGAGACTCGACCCAACTCACAGGTAGGAGCTGGCAGAGACCACGTGTCCTGATTCTGACACCTGCTCACGCGCGTGGCCATACCCCTACTCAGAATCACACACATGCCAGGACCAGTCCCAGCAGCCACAGAGACCTGATTACCTCTACCCTCACCCACACAGCCTTCTAGATGCAGCGTATAGGCACAGACGCGACCCAGCACGAGACACAAACATTCGCCCGGAGACACGCTGTCGACAGGGTCACTCACATAGTCACCTACTGTCACCGCGTGGCCAGGGTGTCCTGAGGGTCACTCACAACTTGTATGACACACTCAGCCCCCCTCACAAGGGCAAACGGGCACTCAAACCCACTGGGGTCCACACCACAAACACACACACGTGGGGTCACACACAATCACACAACAAAGGTCCCAGCCTCAAGCACCCCCGGCTCCCTGGGCCTCACCATCTCCCCCAGCTCTGTCTCCAGGTCGCTCTTCTCCACGCAAAGTTTCTCATAAGCCTGGATCATCTCCCCAAGCTGTTCTTCCTGCTCCTTATTCTTCTGCAACTGAATGGGGCCCAGAGGGGATGGAAAGCACACCGTGGTCAGGCCCATCCTTGACTTGGGGGCCAAGCAGCTCCCCATACCTCCCACCCACACATCCAGCACCCAATGGAAGAGGGGTGGGAGAGGCTGCAACCCATTCTAGGGAAGACTAGGGCCATCGCTGACCAAGGAGACAGAGGCTGGCGGGGGGGGGGGGGGGGGGAGGGCGGGTAGACAGAGGGGACTGTCAGAAATACACTGGAGCAAGGGGTCCAGGGAGCCCAGTCTGGGCTGGGAGGCCAGCGAGGGACTCACCTCATGCTGGAACTGGTTGAGCCGTTGCTGCAGGCTGACCTTCTCCATCTCCAGCAGGGAGCCATCCTTGATTTCATACAGAGAGAAGCCATGCTCCTCTCCAAAGTCATTGATCAGCGGGTACTGTGGGCAGGCAGGTCCTCAGGAGAGCTGGTGCCCGGCTCCCTGCCCAGGCTTCAGCCTCGATTGGGCTCCCACCTCACAACCTGCCTTGAAGTCCTCGCCTCTCCCTCCCCTTGCTCAAGTGGGATCCACACGGCCTGGAGGCATCTCCCGCCAACCAGATCTTTTTTAGATGCAAGGTCCCACCCTTTGGCTCAGGATCCTTTCCTGACCCTTCCCATCCAAAGCAGCCACATCCCTCACGGGGGACCCTCAGGTTCCCAAGAGTGTGCATCCTGATCCCTCTTTGCGATTCCTGGGATCCCCAACCCCCACAACACACACACAGCCAGACCCCCATCTTCTCCAAGTTCTGACCTTGATCTCGTAGACTTTGAGACGGCGGCGGAGGGTGGCATTCTCCCTCTCCAGGCCCCCCAGCCGCTCCTTGATGTCCCCATAGGCTGTGATGAGGGCAAAGTGGGAGGCAGAGCACATGTCCCCTCCCAGTGAGGGGTCTCCTGGGGCATCCAGCCACACCTCACTGGGCCCCAGTGCCTCCTGGGTCAGGATGCTGATGTCATCTTCAAACATGGACTCCATGGCAAGGGCCTGGGCCTCGGCCCCCACTGGGCCTCCTGGGAGAGCAGGAGCAACAGTGGAGAGGGCAGCCTGGAGGTTGTCCCCCATACCCCTCAAGCTGGCCCAAGGAATGCTATGACCAGCTGAGAGGAAGCTTGGAAGCTCCCACCCCTGCCTACCCGCAGACTACTCAGCCCTGTTTTCTCTTCTCTGCTGCCTTTGGGGGAAGGGGCTGTAACTAGATGAAGACTTCTGGCAGGGAGGGCCTGACAAGTAGGGACAAGTAAACCAGGCCAGCAGCAGAGAAGAGTTCCTTCCAGAACCCAGGGAGACCTGTGGACAGGAAAGGACTGCCTTCCCAGGCTAGGGCCCAGACGGGGCTGCCTTGATTCACTCCTCAGCCCCTCTCCACCCCAGGCCTTGCTTCCCCAAATACCTCTCTGCCACGCTCCTCATCCCCGGCCTCTGGCACCCCTGGCTCCTCACTAAGGCCCAGTGCTTCTGGGAGAGTCAGCCCCACCACTGTCAGCACGTCCTCTGTGGGGGCCCCCGCCCAACTTCCCAGCTTCTTCCTGCAGGATCCCAGAGTTCAGGAAAAGGAAGTGCCTCCCCCACTCAGACCAGGGTTGTGGCAACCCTCCAGGCCCTCCCAGCCCCTGATCTGGGACCCACAGGAAGTCCTCACAGAGCGTCAGGGGGAACACACAGAGGGTGGGGGGCCCTGGAAAGGGTCCACCGAAGAATTCCCCAGCCCGCCAATGTGCCTGCACACAGGGAAGTGAGGAGCCCTGAGAGGGGGCAGGAATGACTCAGGGCTCCGAAAGAGTACGCGCGAGAGGGTGCGTGTGTACTTCTGGCCCTGTTTATGAATGTGTGTCTGTGGTTGGCATGTGTGGGGGGGAGTGTGTGTGTCTGTGAATGAGTGTAGGTGTGTCACAGTCAATGAGTGCCTTCGCAGGGCTGCGCTGGGGGTGGCTGGGGGTCGGGAATGGAGTTGGAAAGTGGCCAGGAAGCCGTGTGTGTTTGTGTGTGCGCGTGTGTGCACGCGTGCGTGAGCGTGTGTGAAGGGTGGGCACGTTCGGGGCCGTGTGTCACGTGAGGCACTATGGGAATGTCCGAGGTGTGTGCGCGCGCGCCGGAGCGTGTGTGCGCGTAGGAGAGGGGGCTCGGCGTGAGGTCTGAGTCGAGACAGCGGGGTCCGCGACCTCCCAAAGCCGGGCAGCAGGAGCCTGGAGTGAAGGGGGCTCAAGCCCGGGCCCCAGCACCCCCCCCAAACCTCCCCCATTAAGTGCCAGGGAGACGCGTGTGACCGGGTCTGAGTAAGGAGTGTGTGCGCGTGTTTGTAGGGCTGGCCCCACCTTTAACCCCTTCCTCTCCAGGCGCATCCCCTCCCCCCAACTCCGCCCGCCAGCGCTCACCACACCCCCCCAGACCCCCAGCCCTCCACCTCGGGCCCAGCCCCACTGGCGGGGGCTCTGTCCCCTGGGCCGCCCGGACAGACGCTCCCTTCCTCCGCATTCCCCCCCGGCCCGGCGGCCCCGGGTGAGAGCCGCGGAGGGCGGATGGGGAGGGGGTGCCTCCTCCGCCCCGGGCCCCTACTGCGGCCCCTTTAAGAGCCGCCCTTTAAACCCCTTTAGCTCGGCGGACAGAAATTGTCGCCCCTCCCCTCTCGGGGGCCGAGACCACGCAGCCCCCTCCCCCACCGCTGGCCAAGCCCCGGGCCCCCAGTCGGCGGTCCCCGGGCCGGGGAAGGGGCTCCCGAGGCGGTGCGGCCTGAGCAGCGGCGGCGGAGGGGGAAAAGGGGGAACGCGGAAGGCCGGCGCCGGACCCTTCCCCTCCCGGCCCGCCAGGGCCAACTGCCCGCCAACCTCCCGTCGCCTCCTCCGGCCCACCCTGCGACCCCGGCCGGCCCCG